ACAAACACACACACAAACAGACAGACACATAGACACACACACACACACACACACACACACACAAACAGACAGACAGACAGACGGACAGACAGACACACAAACAGACAGACATACAAACACACACACACACACACACACACACACACACGCACACACACACACACACATACACAGACACACACAACCAGACAGACACACAGACACACACACACTCACACACACACACAGACAGACACACAGACACAGACGGGGGCATCGCGGGCAGACTGTCGGGGTTCAATTTACCGGTAAGTCGGCACAGTCATGCTTTTTTGAGTGTATAGCGAATATGACAACACACACACACACACACGCACGAGGGCATGCGCATAGACAAAAACACACACAAACAGACAGACACACAAACACACAGACAACCCCCATTCCACCGAGACGAGCAGATTCAAAATCAAAACATGGTCAATGTAGCAAGTTCAAGCAACCCCTCTAACAGACAACGAGAGCCCTTGAGTTCGGATAACCCGACAATGAAACAATCACGGACGACCACATTGTTGAGTCTGCTGCTATCTGAGTGCATAAGCAGACTCTCTCTCTCTCTCTCTCTCTGTCGCCCTGTGTCTCTCTCTCCGCAGCAGGCTCCGTCCTCCTCTTCTTCCTTTGCAGTGGTGCACTCTCACGAGAGTCATCATCTGACTCCTCTCCTGCTGTTGCCGCTTCCTATCGTTTCTCTTTTCGTGGCCGCCCTCTCGGACGGCCTGAGCCTCTCGCAACCCCCTTAGTCTGCCCTCTCCCACGTCCAGCAGCCAACCTCCCTCGTCCTCGCGGAGCACAATAGGCGAGGGGATCCCATACACGACCGGGGTGCGCTCCACGCCGCCCAAGGAGAGGCGACTGCTGACTGGAACCGTAAAATCCTCGCACCTCGCTGCGACCCTGCTCGCCCTCTGCCTCACCCTCATGCATATCTCTGGCCGACTGCACTGCGGTCTCCTGCTGGTCTGCGGGATCCACCCTCTGCTGCTCCTTCTCCCTCTGCTGCTGCTTCTCCTTCTCCCTATGCTGCTGCTGCTCCTCATCCCTCTCATGCTGTTGCTGCTCCTTCTCCCTCTCATGCTGTTGCTGCTCCTTCTCCCTCTCATGCTGTTGTTGCTCCTCATCCCCTTGCTGCTTCTCCTGCTGCTGCTCTTGCTGCTGCTGCTGCTGCTGCTCCCGCTGCTCCCGCTGCTGCTCTTGTTGTTGCTCCTACTGCTGCTCCTCTGCAGGCTGCTCATCCCTGTCGTGCAGCTCCCGCGGCTCGGGCCACCCCTGCCGCTCCTCAACCTGCTCCCGCTGCCCCTCTGGCCGCGCCCGAGTGTGGGACCTCAATCCTGATCGTGTGCCTTGGACATAGGGGACAATGCCCTCTCTCCTCGTCCACGATCTGTCTGAGTCCGATCTCTCGTCCACCCACTCCTCGTCGGGGACGTCGTCCTCATCGTCCTCATCGGCCTCATCTTCATCCCCACCCTCCTCCACCTGCACTAACCTGTGTGCCGATCTTGATGTGGATGGCGCAGCGGGATCGTGGCGAATGTTGGTGTTGCCAACTGCGGAAGCAGTGCCCTCACCAGCGGCCTCAATGTCGTCAGCTGCCTCTGTGACATTTGCCATGTCACCCCCCAAGTCCTCGTCCTCCCAGTCGGCTGCGAGCCCCAACCACCCTCCTGCAACAGTGGGCCCATCCTCCCCCTTACTCTTGAGCCTCAAGCTCCAGTGCGAGGCCACCAATTTCTCGGTTCGCTGGTGGGGCAACTTGTTCCTGGACTTCGTCTGCACTAGAGCCCAAGTGCTCCAGTTCCTCTCAACCCCAGCTCCCGGATCTTTGGATGCCCTGCACCATGCGCCTCCCACCACAGCACCGCATTGTCCTTCTCAGCCCGTTTCTTCGCCTGTGGGGTGCCGAAGACTTCTCTCCCAAACTGGAACTCGTACAACTGGTCCATGCAGTCGTCAAATCTCGAGCTCCCCTTCTTCCCGATGAGCCGCTCCACGACGCTCTCGAACTGTGCCATGAGGTCGACATTACTAAAAACAGTAATGTCCCTCAACATAGGATCCAGCAGCCGAGCAACGCGTGGATGGGGCTGAGCAACATGTCGGTCCTCTTGCCAACATCCCTCAGAAGGTCCTCTCGCTGGTCYGCGGTGAGGGGGGTCGAGCGAACAAAGCCGGGTAGCTGACACGCCATATCATAGATGCGTGACAAGCAGTGGACATCTTTGTCCACCTCTCGCAACACATTGTAAGGCCCCTTCATGACGGCAGTCAGCTTCTTGACATCAGCCCAGAATGCTTTGTCAAGAGCTGTCTCCTCCACGAAGTCGGCTTTCGCCCTGATATCCCCTCGCACAGCATGGTCTCCCAGCCATGTCCGATGACGACACGCACAATGGCCCTCTCGCACACCTCAAGTCGCTGCAGCATCACATAGTTCGTCCCAAACCTCGTCTGAGCAGGCTGAAGGAGGCAGGTGCAATCCAAGCCGGGGTACTTCAACAGTTGTGTCCTCAGTTGCGACCGAGGCCACCTGTGAACCCGGAAGAAGTTCACTACTTTGTTGGCCTTCGTGATGATGACATCCACCCACTCCTTCTTGCCTATATCGTGCATGAGGAGGTCCATGCAATGAGTTGTGCAAGGGATCCAATAGATCTGCCTGAACTCGGGGTCCTCCCTCAACATCCTCGCGGCACTCAAATTCCCAGCGAAAGAGTCAGTGCATATCGTCGTGATCTTCTCCACCCCCCACTCTCTGAAGAACCACTTCCACCCGGCAACGACAGCTACAGAGTCCTTGTCTCCCTCGCTCACATCCTCGCACTTCACGAAAACAGGCTTCGATTGACCTGCAAGGATGTAGTTCATAAGTGATCGCCCACAGATGTTTGTGGTGCCATCAGTTATGAACGTGCATCCAGTCACCTGCCAGTCGTCACGGACCACCTGCTTCTCATCCATCAACCTCTTGTTCAAACGATCGAGCAGGCGATAACTGAGGGGGTTGTACCCAGTGGGCACGAGAGGGTGACTCCCCACAGGCCGTGGCCCGATACACGTCAGCATGAACTTCTTGAAGCTCCTGCTTCTGGCGGCGTTGAACGGGATCGCGTTCTCCACGAAGAACTCGCAGCAGGAGTCATATATGTCCTCATGCCTCAGGTTCTTCGCAAACCTCCTGATGCTCATCTGCTTCGTCGGGCCACGTGTGCATGCCCCCTGCACCACAGCCCTCGAGGAACCAGCCCTCCCTGGAGTAGCAAGGCCACCTGTCATAACACCCCTCGTCCCCTCATCCTCAACGATGTCAACCTCCCTGGTATCCCCACCAGGTGCCTCCCGGGATCCTCAGCAATTCCGCCTTCGCCCCATTCTCCTCCACCCGCAACAGGAGTGTCCTCCTCGTCACTCTTCTCCATCTCCAACATGCGTTGCACCCTCTCATGCAGGTCCGGTGGCAGCTGTACACCGATGCCATGCAGCCTCCTCCAAATGGACAGGTTTGAATGTGGACACCTGTCAGACACCCTCGCCAAAATGAAGTGCTCCCACGCACGCTTCCGATTCCCGGAGTACTCCTTGTTGCAGAGTTTGCACAGCAGTCTTCTCGACCCACGAGCATTGCCCGGCAGCATCTGGCCAGGAGTGACCCAAGTCCACACGACGTGGTCCCTGTTGCAGGTCATGTCCTCCCGGAACGGGTCCCGTTGCTCCCCTGCCATGACACTGGTGATGGTGCGGAGTCAGTGCAGACGACTTGCTGACGTGGTTGCTGCTGACGTGGTTGCTGCTGACGTGGTTGCTGCTTTTGATGCCGAGCTGGCACTGGAAGGTGCACACAGACGGTTGCTGAAGCAGTTCCTGCGGCTGCTGCTGAAGCGGTTCCTGCGGCTGCTGCTGAAGCGGTTTCTGCTCACGTGGTTGCTGCTGTCGTGGTGGCTGCTCACGTGGCACTGGAAGGTGCACTGGCTTTTGATGTGGGTGCTGCAGCTGCTGCTGAAGCGGTTGCTGTCACGTGGCTGCTGCTGATGTGGCAGTGCGGATGAAATACCTGCTGACATGGCAGACGCTAACGATGCACCTGCGAGAACAAGGAGAAGAAATGTCAATTTCGGTGGAGAATAAAAAAACGAAAAAAAAAACAAGCGGAGGAGGGGAAGGATGAGGGAGGGGGAGGAGGAGGCGATGGAGGACGAGGAGAGGAAGAAGAAGAAGAAGAAGAAGAAGAAGAATTGTGTGTGTGTGTGTGTGCGCGCGCGCGCGCGCGCGCGAGAGAGAGAGAGAGAGAGAGAGAGAGAGAGAGAGAGAGAGAGAGAGAGAGAGAGAGGACGAGGAGAGAGAGAGGTGGAGAACGAGGGAGGGGGAGGAGGAGGAGATGGAGGAGGAGGACAGGTAGAAGAAGAAGAAGAAAGGTGTGTGTGTGTGTGTGTGTATGTGTGTGTGTGTGTGAGAGAGAGAATAAAATCTATTTTATTAAAAAAAAATGCGAGTGCTGATGTGGCAGCCGCGCGATGAAGATGAAGATGAAAATGACGGGGAGGAGGAGGTGGAGAGAAGAAGACGACGACTAAAGGAGGAGGAGAACGAAGATGACAGGGAGGAGGAGGTGGAGAGAAGAAGAAGAAGACGACTAGAGGAGGAGGAGGAGGAGGAGGAGGAGGAGGAGGAGGAGGTGATGGAGGAGGAGAAACGAAGAAGAAGAAGAATGGTGTGTGTGTGTGTGTGTGCGTGTGTGTGTGTGTGTGTGTGTGTG